GTAAGAGAAGACAGCATGGACAGGATTCTCAGAAGTGACACTACTCTGGGATTCACTTTTTATTGTGATAAATAAATATTACCTAAAATTTACTATTTGAACCATTTTAAATTACACAGGTAAGTGGCACTGAGAACATTTACATTGTTGTGCAAACTGATCTGAGACTTTTTTTTAAAGATTATTTATTTATACAAGCACTGGGTACAGTCAGAAGCGCGGGAGGGTGAGAGAATTCACCAGAGCCAGAGGGGAGAGCAGAGCAGGCAGACTGAGGAGGTACACTGCTGAGGGGAGCAGGGGGTGGCAGGAGAGGTCTGCGTGCCATGTGGGACCCTCGCCTGGCGGCCAGGGATTGAACCGGCGCTGCAGAGGCTGCGGGCAGCTTCACAACCCAGCGCTCAACAGCTGCACCACCGGGGAGGCCCCTTTTAAAATTTTTTTTTATGTATTTTTTTTTTCATTAAGACTTTTTTTTTTTAAGGATTTATTTATTTATTTATACAAGCACTGGGTACAGTCAGAAGCACGGGAGGGCGAGAGAATTCACCAGAGCCAGAGCGGGGAGCAGAGCAGGCAGAAGGACCGAAGTACACTGCTGAGGGGAGCAGCGGGCGGCAGGAGAGGTCTGCGCGCCATGTGGGACCCTCCTCCGGTGGCTGAGGAGCAGCTGGGGATTGAACCAGCACCGCAGAGGCCGCGGGCAGCTTCGCAACCCAGCGCTCAACCGCTGCGCCACCGGGGAGGCCCTATAGAGATTTTTTTTGACATATTTATTGATTTTCTTCCCAAGGACTAAACTATTTTGCATTGCTGTTATCTGCTAACAATTCTACAGTTTATTTACTTCAGCTGACAGGATAAACAGGTCTCCGCATTAGTGATCCACTTGAACAAATTCTTCAGAATAGTGTTTGGCCATAGTAAAAGTTCCAACAATAAGCAGTAAATAAGAACATAGAAAAGCAGGTTCAAATTACTACTCCTGGGGAAGAAGCGATAGAGGCGGTCAGTCTGATAGTGGGAGTGGCCTCAGAACTTTAGTGGGGGGGGTGAAGTGAGGTTTATACACATATAGATAGAATTGTGAAACTGTACTCCCCAAAATTAAATAGTATTATACTATTAATGGGCATCCCTGGTGGCATGGGGTTAAGTCTCAGTGCTATCACCACAGCAGCCAAAGCTCGATCCCCAGCCAGGAAGCTGACCCACATATGGACCAGCAGACCTCTCCTGTCTCAACCCCTTCTCCCCTCAGCAGTGTATTTCAGTAGATCCGCCTGTCCTGCTCCCCACTCTGTCTTTGGTGAATCTTCTCACAGCCCCCTCCCCCCCCCCCACACACACACACCCGCACCTCTGGCCTACAACCCAGTTCTTCTGGGTTGCATAAAGAAATAAATCTTTAAAAAAATTATTTACAATAAATTACTATTCCCCATTGGAAATTTTTTTAACAGACAGTTTAAAACTAGGTGGGGAAGAGTTTAGAACACTGGCTGGCGCTCTGGGATGTGGGAACTGTGGCTCCCTGGCTGGCCATGTGTTCTGATTCAGGCAGTTTCTTGTCCGTCTTTCCTTGATCCAATTTCTCTTCCCGCACCCAAAAGATAGGGCTGTAGTCAGGTGTCTTCTCTCTGCACATTCCCCTTCTCCTTTTCTCTGGACTACAATACCCCCCAAAGCCAGTTACAGGGCTGCTGCTGTTCAGCACGGGGTCTTTATGTGAAATGAAAAAGAGAAAGCTCCCTCTGGTCTTGGCAAGCTGCTAACTTCTTTATGTGAAGAAAAAGCATCCCTCCCCCCAAGAAGCAACACCCCCACACCAGCAAGAGGACAGCCTGGCCTCTGCCTCCTCCACTGTGAGCGAATCCATCCTCCTTCCCCCGGCTGCAGAGGCCCGAATAGGCAGCCTCACCTTGGGCCAGGTTGTTACTGAGCATTGGGGTTTTCTGCCTGACGAGCGTAATCAGATAATGACGTAAGTATTTTAGAAACCAGCTTTATTTTGTGAAATGACTGGTAAGGAGGTAGAAAATAAACTCAAATCTACCTCCCCAATTAAGAAAGGCGATGGGGTTTTACAGGTTTGGGGGAAGAGGGTTGAGAATAAAGGAGTTAAATTTTATTGGCTAAAAAAACAGGTTGGGGCAAAGAAATGAGGACTTGGCTGAAATTCACTGGGCACTTCATACCTGAATGTGAAGAGGCTTTTCTTCAAATAACTGGAATAGCAATACTGCCTCCCTGTGGCAATTGGAATAAAAGCCTCTATGCCAGCGCACTGTCCTGGAAGCACCTCGAGCGATTCTGTGCCTGTGCAAAGCACTCCTTACTTTATCTCACTTAAACCTTACAACAATCCCTTGTAAGGCATCATAGCATGTAGTTTAAGGATTAAATACACAGGGCCTCCCTGGTGGCTCAAGGGATTAAGTCTCAGGACTATCAAGCTATCGCCAGCCATGGCGGCACGAGTTCAATCCCAGGCCAGGGAGAGAACCCACCTGGCGCAGCAGACCTTTCCTGTCTCCCTGCTGCTCCCCTCAGCAGTGTATTTCAGTCAATCCACCTGTTCTGCTCCCCACTCTGTCTCTGGCGAATCCTCTCACCACCTTCCACCTCTGGTCTACACCACCCCCACTCCTGTATGCATAAATAAAATAAGTCTTTAAGGCCTCCATGGAGGTGCAAGGGGTTAAGATGCAACCTATGAAGCTACCCGCAGCAACTGCAGCGCGAGTTTGATCCCAGCCCAGGGAGCTACCCACATGATACAGCAGACCTCTGCTGCCTCGCCCGCTGCTCCCCTCAGCAGTGTATTTCAGTTGATCTCTCTGTTCTGCTCCCCACTGTCTCTGGTGAACCCGCTCAACTCCCACACCTCTGGCCTGTACCCCAGTTCTTGTATGCATAAATAAACCTTTAAAAAATAAAATAGGGCCTTCCCTGGTGGTACAGGCGGTTCAGCGCCATGCTGTGAAGCTGTCCGCAGCCTCTGCAGCGCCGGTTCGATCCCGGCTGGCCAGCGAGGGTCCCACATGGCCCAGCAGACCTCTCCTGTCTCACCCGCTGCTCCCCTCAGCAGCAAATTTCGTCAGTCTTCCTGTTCTGTTCCCTGCTCTGTCTCTGGTGAATCCTTCACCCTCCCACGCATCTGGCCTATACCCCAGTTCTTGTATAAAATAAATAAATAAATCCTTTAAAAATTAAAATAAAATAAATCTTTTAAAAAAGAAAAGAAAGAGTTAAATACACAGACTTGAGCCAGGCTCTCTGGTTCTCTCACTTACTAGTTGTGTGACCTTGGACAAATTATTGAAGTTCTCTGTGTTTTTCCTATCAGAAGAAGAGGGATAATAGTAGCACCCACCATAAAGGATTCTATGAGGAGTAAATTCTTAAAAGGGTACTCTGACAGCATAGCAAATGCTTTATAAATATTAGCTATTATTCTCCTTTTCCTGATGAGAAAAAAGCAGGAACTCAACAAATATAATTTCCTTTGCTTTCTCCCCTTCTTCTTAGCTCCTCATTAGGTTGCCCTCCTTAGTGGTCCTGAAATTTAAACAGGGGACTCCTGAATAATACAAATAAAATAATATAAATAATACAAACAAATCATTCTTGTTAATATTGTCAATATTGTAAAGGCTTCCCAGCAATGAAGTTTATCCTATCCAAAATGGGACACACAGTGGTTGTGAAAAATGTAAGATTTGTGCAGAGAGTCAGATTTCTAGGAATATTCAAACAAGTGTGACCTGCTCAAAACAGATTTTTTTTACCACTTTGCCCATGATCATTTTCCAAATTAAGCTAATATGATAATTTATTATAGACTATTCTCTCCTTGCTTCCTACACTTGTAAAAACTAAATTCATGAAAATGATGGTTTTTCAAATGACAATATTGAAGGGATTATCAGACTATCCATTCCAGGCTACATTTGCCATAGATGCATCTTTACCAGGTAAATAAATGTCTCCTTGCTATAGCAAGCTCTGAAAGAGTAAACAGCCATTGCTTTTCTCTTTTGGTTGGTCTTCTTTTATTTCCGTATACTAGACCTAGCACTGGTAATTCTACGAAGAACTAATTTCCAAGCCTTTTTTTTTTTTTTAAGATTTATTTATTTATTTATTTATTTATTTATTTATTTATAGAAGCACTGGGTACAGTCAGAAGCGCGGGAGGGTGAGAGGATTCACCAGAGCCAGAGCGGGGAGTAGAGCAGGCAGACGGACCGAAGCACACCGCTGAGGGGAGCAGCGGGCGGCAGGAGAGGTCTGCGCGCCATGTGGGACCCTCCTCCGGTGGCCGGGGAGCAGCCAGGGATCGAACCGGTGCCGCAGAGGCCGCAGGCAGCTTCGCAACCCAGCGCTCAACCGCTACGCCACCAGGGAGCCCCAAGCTTTTTTTTTTTTAAGATTGATTTTATTTATGCATACAAGAGCTGGAGTACAGGCCGTGGAGGTGGGCGGTGAGAGGCTTCACCAGGGACAGAGTGGGGAGCAGAACAGGCAGACTGATGAAATACACTGCTGAGGGGAGCAGCGGGCGGCAGGAGAGGTCTGCTGCGCCATGTGGGTTAGCCCCCTGGCCAGGGATCGAATTCATGCTGCAGAGGCTGGCGGCAGATTCAGAGCGGTGAGACTTTAACCCCTTGCGCCATCAGGGAGGCCCTCCAAGCCCTTCTTTAAAACGTCAGTTTACATTGTTTAAATGTGGTATTCCTAAAATACTCATCAAGTTGAGCAAACAACATCTTCTTTACCTTATCTATTTCACCTAAATCAATATTCTCAAGAACTCGCCTTTCAGCAGATCTTCCTAGAATGGGGACGGTCTCCCGAGCTGCGGGCAGCGTGGGAGAGGCCCGAGCCCAGGGGCTCCGAGGCGGCCCCCCAACCCCAGTGGGAACTACAATTCCCGGCTGCCCCGGCGGTCGGCGACGCCACTACGCGCCTGCGCGACGACGCGGCTACGCAGCGCCGCGGTTCCCGCCAGTTTTTGCTGTTGTCCAGTCCGGGTCGGGTCCCGCGCGCAATGGCGGTGTTTGACCCTGCCGAGCTGCCCGAGCTGCTTAGGCTTTATTACCGGAGGCTCTTTCCCTACGCCCAGTACTACCGCTGGCTCAACTATGGCGGAGGTGACGGGGCGGGCGGGGCGGGAGTGTGGCGGGGCCCGCGGGAGGTAGCCTCAGCCTGACGGCGAGCAGCGGCTCCCGCGCGCCGGGCACCGGGCCGCGCGCCTTCGGCTGTACCTGGTGCCGGTCCCGCCGCCTCCAGGTCCAGAGGGCCCGAGAGAGGATGTAATGAGCCGCCGGCGGCCCAGCGGTGAAAGGCCGTGTTCCCGCCACGACCCACCGCTTGCTCAGACTGGTTCAGCGCCGGCTGCCTTGCGCGGTGCCGAGGGAGATGCTGTGCAGGATCGTTGCAGATCTGCTCCTGGGGGCGCGGCCTGACATAGTGAAAATACTTTCCAAATGCCTGCAAATCAGAAATAGGTCTTGTTTTGTTTTCCTTGTAGCACAGTGTTGAGCACAGAAGGCTCCTTGGAAGTGCCCTCTCATTGGTTGATGTTAGAAGGCCCAGAGCTGCCTAGAACACCAAACTCACTTTTAAATGTCCATTTGTTTTGCAGTGATAAAGAATTACTTTCAACACCGTGAATTTTCATTCACCTTGAAAGATGATATTTACATTCGCTACCAATCCTTCAACAGCCAGAGCGAGCTGGAAAAGGAGATGCAGAAAATGAATCCATACAAGATTGATATAGGCGCTGTATATTCCCACAGAGTAAGAAACTGGGTTTTTGTATATTGTGTTTTTTAAATCAAGAATGGATTGGTGCCCCCAGCATTTTGAGATAACATTGCTAGAGTTTAGTCAAAGGGCCACACTTTAACTGTTTATGCAAGTACAATACATTGTAATATTTTTGTTCTTACATTCTCACTAGGCCAAAAAGAAAATTGAGTCTATGGCTAACAGACTAAATGAAAAAGTGAAGGTGGTTTAAGAGAGAGAATTGCCTATTTCCCTGTATTGGAGTTATCCTTGAATTCTCTCTTTTTCTCACACTGATAGCCTTCCAGTAGCATCTCTTTCTCTGTATTATTATATAATCACATCTAAAGTCCAACCAGTACTACAGCAACAGCATCTCTAATCTGAATTACCCTAAAATAATGGAATGAAAACTACACTAACAGACATCATTGGTCACTGAACTGCCCTGGAGCCTGTAACAATGCCTGACACTCCTGATCACATTCCTCAGAGAAGTCTCCTGCCTGGGGTAGCAATGGGAGGGTATAGACAAAAGACTTACATAGGTTTGGAGGGAACAAATAAGTATCTGCATGCAGTCCACATTCTTTTACCTAGTAGAACATGGCCTCACAAAGGCTACTTACAGGGCCTCCCCTGGTGGCACAGCGGCTAAGCGCTGGGCTGCGAAGCTGCCTGTAGCCTCTGCAGCGCTGTTTCGATCCCAGCTGGCTGGCTGGCGAGGGTCCCACATGGCGTGACAGACCTCTCCTGCCTCGCCCACTGCTCCCCTCAGCAGTGTACTTCATCAGTCTGCCTGTTCTGTTCCCCGCTCTGGCTCTGGTGAATTCTCTCACCCTCCTGTGCTTCTGACTGTATCCAGTGCTTGTATAAATAAATAAATCAATCTTTAAAAAAAAAAAAAAAAGAATCCTTGGTAACTCTAAAAGAAAAAAGGCTACTGGCCTCCCTGGTGGCGCAAAGGGTTAAGACACAACCTATGAAGCTGTCCGCAGCCACTGCAACACGAGTTCGATCCCCAGCCAGGGAGATACCCACATGGCACAGCTGAATTGCCCACTGCTCCCCTCAGCAGTGTATCACAGCCAATCCGCCTGTTCTGTTCCCCACTCTGTCTCTGGTGAATCCTCTCACCCCCAACACCTCTGGCCTGTACCCCAGTTCTTGTATGCATAAATAAATAAATAACTCTTTAAAAAAGAAAAAAGGCTACTTACAGCTTGAGCAAAAGGCTCAGTTGAAATACTTGAGATCTTTTTGAAGATCTCAAAATTTGTATACAAATTTCATATGTATACATGGACAGTAACAATTAAAAGTTTGAAACATCTTAAAATTGGACATTAATTCTTTTTATATATGCTTATAACCTAAAAATAGTTTTATTATGATTTCTGTTGATCAAATATTTATTACACAATGTTGTGTCATTGATGTCTCAATAGAATTGGGAAAAAAAATGGCAATATGTATTTATCAAACTGTCTTAAGTAAATAAAGGTTAAATTCCTCAATTCTGAATGTGTAGGAGCTAAATGAATGAGCCTTAACTGACAGTATATGGGGTGGTTTTTTTGCTTTTCTTTGATCACTTTTCCCTTGTAGGTAGAAAATAAGCATATTGGCACCACGGCAGCGCTTATAAAATACTGACTGATATTTTGTACTTGTAGCCCAGTCAACACAATACAGTGAAGCTAGGAGCTTTCCAGGCTCAGGAAAAAGAACTGGTGTTTGACATCGACATGACCGACTACGATGATGTGAGGAGATGTTGTAAGTAAGTGTCGCCTGCCTTGCAGGTCGGGTGGGTGATATCATTGTGAGCGAGTAATGATGACTGTGCTCCAGTTCCGCAGACATATGTTCCAAGTGCTGGACCCTCATGACGATGGCCATCCGCATCATCGACCGAGCATTGAAGGGCAAGTATCAGCACTGTGTGAATGGGGTCAGGGGCAAGAATCTGTTTTCCTCTGAATAGCAGTCTGCCTGTACCATTTTATAATTAAATCTCATCAATTTCTAACATGTTTCCTCAAAGTATATGATAGAAAAATAAAAGATTAAAATTGTGGTTAGAATCCTTGCAAGACTGTTGGTCAAGCCAGTGAATTTTTGGTCCAATTCAGTTATCCATTGAGTCAAGGTATTGTCCTAGATGAGGAAAATGGGAAAGGTAACAATCCAACCTCAAATAGGTAATACAGTCTAAGGAGACAAGAAAGTTAATGATTTCATTGTGATGAGTAATATATGTGGGGTGCCATGGGACTATAGAACACCAGGAATGGGAGGATACAGGATTAGAGGGTGCCATGGGAATATAGAACAGCAGGTATACATACAGGAATGAGAAGAGATTGGATCAGAGAATGCTGCCTAGAAGAGGCGGTGAACAGATGATGATGATGATGATGATAATGGCTAACTCATATAGTGGCTTATTATGTGCCAGGCACGGTTTAGTATTCCTATGCTGGGTCTTTAAAGATAAATGGCAGTTGGTCAGGGAAAGAAATGGAAGTGCTGTGGGATGAAGAAATTGACAGAGAGACCAGGTTGGGTAAAGACATGAAAACAAAAGAATGTGAGACACTGGAAACTATGAATAGTTTAGTAGCTGGGGATAATTGGTAAAAAATGAAACTAAGAATAAGCAGGAACTAAGAGTTTATAGATTTGTTTTAAAACTTACTCTTTCTCCCCTCCTCAGAGGACTTTGGATTTAAGCACCGTCTCTGGGTATATTCTGGAAGGAGAGGTGTTCATTGTTGGGTCTGTGATGACTCAGTTAGAAAACTGTCATCCGCAGTACGTTCTGGGATAGTTGAGTACTTGAGTCTTATAAAGGTAAGATATTCTTGAAGGTAATTTACATCTGTGCTAGATGTTACCTATCTTGGTATATTTAGTAATAAACTTTTTTTTTTTTTTGGAAGATTTATTTATATATACAAGAACTGGAGTACAGGCCAGAGGTGCAGAGGGGTGAGAGGCTTCACCAGAGACAGAGTGGGGAACAGAGCAGGCAGATCGACTGAAACACACTGCTGAGGGGAGCAACGGGCGAGACAGGAGAGGTCTGCTGCGCCCTGTGGGTAGCTCCCTGAACTGGCTCAAACTCCTGCTGCAGTGGCTGCGGATAGCTTCATAGGTTGCGTTTTAACCCCTTGCACCACCAGGGAGGCCCTTAGTAATAAACTTTCTTATAGCATCCACATTCCAGAGCAGATGATCTTACCAGTAGATCAGTTAAAATCATAGTAGCTACATTTGTAAGATCTTTTATATTTTGCTATATAAATATATAAATATATATAAATATATATTTATAAGTGCCCCTCCTTTGTGGCAAAAATAATATTAGCTTACTTTTCTAGTTCAGTTATGACAAGTAAAGATAACCCAGGAAGTTGCAGGTATTTATAAAGTAACCTAACATATAAAATAACACCCAACATATAAAATAACATATAAAATAATAACAACATATAAATAACATATTTATAACACCCAAGCTTCTGTACTTTGACAGAATGTAATCAGTATCTTTAAAACAAGTTAAAGAGGGCCTCCCCAGTGGCGCAGCAAGTTGAGCGCAGCTCTGTGAAGCTGTCCACAGCTTCTGCAGCACAGGTTAGATTCCTAGCCAGCCAGGAAGATTCCCACATGGCACAGCAGACCTCTCCTGTTGCACCTGCTGCTCCCCTCAGCAGTGCTTTTGGTCTGTCTGCCTATTCTGTTCCCCACTCTGTCTCTGCTGAATCCTCTCACCCTCCTGTACCTCTGGCCTGTCCCCCCCAGCTATTGTATAAATAAATAAAAAAAAATCTTTGTAAAAAAAAAAAAACAAAGAAATTTTAGAATCATTTTATTTAGGTTATGTAAGATACGTGAAGTTCTTTTTTGACGGTTTATTTTTCAGGGTGGTCAAGATGTTAAGAAGAAAGTTCACCTAAGTGAGAAAATGCACCCTTTTGTCAGGTCTGTTGGGGAAAAAATTCATGCAGTTGTGTCTGATTTACCTCCACATATTTTTAGAATCATCTTGTTATCAATTTTTTTCAGCTGAGGTAGTGTTTTAGAATGATAGTAGCTAGAGTGAACTGTGTACCTACTTTGTGCTGCAGTATTCATAATAGGTGTTTTACAATGCTTCCATTGGTCTTCATAACAGCCTCACAAGAAACATGGTGGTCTCTCCATATACAGATGAGGAAGGTGAGATTTGGAAAGAGTATAATTTGCTTGGCATCACACAAGTAATTGTTAAATTCAGGATTCGTGTCCCAGTCTGCCAGCTCCAAAACTCAAAAAAACTCATACCCTTTCCACTGAACTGACTACTGCTCTAGGCTAGCGAAAAAGCATTGCCAGGAGTAAGTGTCACTTAGGATCGCCTTGATAAAATACTGGAGTCTCTGTTTCCTTATCTGTATGATGAGAAGAACAACTTCTCACCTATTCCAGAGCTATGGCAGAGATTAAATATAATGGTAGCTATGAAGTCTATTTACAAATTGCTAAGCAATATAATTGATGAGGTGTTAAAAGAGGCAATTCAGAGTAGAAAAATAGACCCACATTCTACAACTGATATATTATTATATTGTATTGGCTTTGTTGCTTTCTATCCTTGTTACCTATTATGGTGCTATTAACTTTCTAAGTTATGGTATTTAAGAAGTAAACATTTCTTGTATTCTAAGGTATGTACTATGCTAGATTCATTCCACCTAGAATGTCTCAAGTATTTCTCATAACCCTAACTTACAAAGGGGTATTATTCACGTTTATCTAATTAAGACCTAGAAATTCAGTGAAAAGTGTGAGGTTCTGGAATGGCAACAAAAACTGTGGTGTATATGTTGCTAATAGTGTTGAAACTTTGTTACCGTTATTTCTACAGAAAATCTATAGACATAATAAAAAAATACTTTGAAAAATATGCCTTGGTTGATCAAGATATTCTTGAAAATAAAGCAAGTTGGGATAAGATTTTAGCCCTTGTTCCTGAAAATATCCTTTCCTAAGCCCATTTGTATGTGAGCAAGTTATACTAACTATATAAGAATATGCTGGCAGAATACATGCATAATGTCATAGTATTTTTTACACAATCTTTTATATAAAACATCTGTTTCTACATTTTTGTATTTCATCTCTAATGCAATAAGAAGTTAGGTCATTTCATAAATAAATGTCCTCATTTTGGAAGTCGATCCTCCTAGAATGGCTATTTAAAGAATCCAAATCATTTTAATCAAAACATGCAGACCAGAGGAAACTTTTATTTTAAAATGTGAAATTATTTTGGCATTCTTTTTGTCTTTTACAGGGTAGTTATTTGGGAATATGTATTTAATATTTATATTTTAGAAAACATAACCGCTTTCTCATACACTTTAGATATCTTTGTGGTTAATATAATGAAAGTAAGTTATTTGTTGATGTGCCCTAAATGAGTGTGTTCCTTAATGACCTATTACCAGTTCATGAAGAACTTCAGCAGGAGTTTCAAAAGCATCACAGTTCACTTCAGCGTTGGGAGTGTTTGAAAGCCAGCATGCATAAGGTATATTACATTAAAATCTGTATTACAGGGCCTCCCCGGTGGCGCAGCAGTTGAGCGCTGGGTTGCGAAGCTGCCTGTAGCCTCTGCAGCGCCGGTTCGATCCCCGGCTGCTCCCCGGCCACCGGAGGAGGGTCCCACATGGCGCACAGACCTCTCCTGCCGCCCGCTGCTCCCCTCAGCAGTGTACTTCGGTCCTTCTGCCTGCTGTACTCCCCGCTCTGGCTCTGGTGAATTCTCTCACCCTCCCGTGCTTCTGACTGTACCCAGTGCTTGTATAAATAAATAAATCTTTTTTTAAAAAAAAAAATCTGTATTATAAATATAATAATGCAGGTTTTTTTTGTTCACATTTTTAAAAGTACAGGTTTGTTAGGAAAAGGAGAGCAGAGAGCTGTTGCTTTTGAAAGGAAAAGGTTTGTGAAATTGTGAAAAGAAATGCCTGCAGAGACATAGGCAGGCAATCTTGGGACAAGAGCTGTACTAATTCAATTCTTAATTAAATTCTGGTTTTGCTTAGTAAGTTAAAGATTTTTGATTTTTTTTTTAACCTCTTTTAATGAAACCTCAGAAATTCCTACTGATCTTCATACTTTGCATCTGCTTTTAGAGTAACATCAAAAATGACAAATGGCTCGAGGAGATCATGCTGCAGTACTGTTTTCCACGGTTGGATGTCAATGTTAGTAAAGGAATCAATCATTTACTGAAGAGCCCATTTAGTGTTCACCCTAAAACAGGTACTACGTAAAGAAAGTAGGGAAAACAAAAAGAAAAATGAACATTACTTTTTGTTTTAACAAGCGTGTCACTAGGTGTGAAAATACGATATCAAGAGTTATCAAAGGTCCACAAATACCTGTGTTTTCATTGTTGATTAGTAGCTACCAGATGAGTTCACAATGTAAATAATTTTCAGTTAGGTTTCTGGGGTTCAGTGTTAAAATTAGAGTTGGAGAAGAACTTAGAAATCATAAGACAACGGCTCAGTAGCCTAGGAAGTAAAAGTGACTTGTCCACAATCTTAAATGTGTCAGGGCTAGGAATAAAATTCAGTTCTTAAAACTCAAAGAACTGGGCCTCCCTGGTGGCACAGGTGGTTGAGCGCGGCACTGTGAAGCTGTCTGCAGCCTCTGCAGCACGGATTCCACCCCGGCCATTCATCGAGAAGCCCACATGGCGAAGCAGACCTCTCCTGTCTCGCCTGCTGCTCCCCTCAGCAGTGTATTTCATCAGTCTTCCTGTTCTGTTCCCCACTCTGTGGGGAACAGAATCCTCTCACCCTCCCACGCATCTGGTCTGTACCCCGGTTCTTGTATAAAAATAAATTTTTTTAAAAAAATCTTTTAAAAAAACACAACTCAAAGAACTATAGTATTCCTACTATGTTGCCTCTCTCAGCTCACTTTCAATAGTTTTAGCTTTCCTCCTTTACATTTCCCTTAGTTAAGATTTGATGGGCTGAAACTGACTTTAAAATAAACTTCGCTATATCAGCATAAACCCTGCTCTTTCCAACCAGGAGACATAATAGAGAAATATACAGTTGTCCTTTTTAGGATCAACATGCCACCTACTCACTGTGGGATATTAGGCAAATTACTCTCTGGCTTGCTGTTCTCATCTGCGAAATGGAGATGATAATAGTAGTTAACTCAATTAGTTATTTTGAAGATCTAAAATGTAAAGTACTTAGAAGAGTATCTGTCACGCAGTCAATTCTTTCAAATTGCCTAGTTTGCTTTAATAATCTATAATAAGGCCTCCCTGGTGGCCTAAGCACTACCACTGCGATGGGCCTCCCGCAGCAAAGCATCCCTGGCCAGGGAGCTACCCACATGGTGCAGCAGGCCTTTCCTGTCTTTCCCACGGCTTCCCTCAGCTGTGTATTTCAGTGGATCTGCCTGTTCTGCTTTCCACTCTGTCTCTGGTGAATCCTCTCACTCCCACGCCACTGGACTACACACCCCAGTTCTTATATGCATAAATAAATAAATCTTTTTTAAAAAAATAGAATCTCAACATAAAGAGACTGCTTAAGAGAAGTAATATATTGAGGTCAAAACTGACTGGCTTCCATTAATTTTTTTTTTTTAAGATTTTATTTTTACATAGAAGAACTGGGTACAGGCCAGAGGGGTGGAGGGTGAGAGGATTCACCAGAGACAGAGGGGGGCACAGAACAGGTGGAGTGACTGAAATACACTGTTGAGGGGAGAGGCTGGTGAGTCAGGAGAGGTCTGCTGCACCATGTGGATAACTACCTGGCCGGGGATTGAACTCAACTCATGCTGTAGTGGCGACAGATAGATTCATAGGTTGCATCTTAACCCCTTGCACCACCAGGGAGGTTCTCTTTGGTGTTTTTTAAAAGAAGTAAAAGGCACAGTTAAAGTAAAAATACTTTTATATATTTTTTAATTTATATATTTTTTAAAGATTTATTTATACATACAAGAACCGGGGTACAGGCCAGAGTTTTGGGGGGGTGAGAGGATTCACCAGAGACAGAGTGGGGAACAGAACAGATATATCGACTGAAATACACTGCTGAGGGGAGCAGTGGGTGAGTCAGGAGAGTTCTGCTGTGCCATGTGGGTCACCTCCCTGGCTGAGAATCGAACTTGTGCTGCAGTGGCTGCGGTGAGCTTTGTAGGTTGCGTCTTAACCCTTGTGCCACCAGTGACGCCTTTAATTTATATTTTTAATATTGTTCTTAACAGATAAATCTGATCCCTTTCATATGCCTTAGATTAGCATTTTAGCAGAAAATAACTCATAGGAGATAGTCTATGATTTCTATCCCACAGTCATCAGTTTGTAAATTTTGGTTCTTACAGGTCGCATTTCTGTGCCAATCGATTTACAGAAAGTGGATCAGTTTGACCCATTTACTGTTCCAACCATAAGGTATGTTTCAGATCATTCCAGATATTTGTTTCTAATTGTTGTTCTGAATTTTAGGCAGGTTGGATTAGATTCCTTCCAGAGAGGCAGCTACTCTGAGACTCTATGATGTTACCTTAATAGAAAATTTACCTAAGTGAGTTCCACAGAACACAAGACTTTCAGCTGCTATTATGCAAGAAAAAGATTTTAATAAGTTTGGGAAATGCTTACCTACACAGATTGAGTTCTTTACTGCAAGATTTCCCAGTTTCATATGCTAATGTGCATGGAAAATTTGACGAGATTATGGTTTTTAAAATATCCCAAATTTGGGCCTCCTTGGTGGCCTAGGGATTAAGTCTCAGTGCTACCACTGAAAAGAGCCACCAAAACAGCCTGAATTCAATCCCCAGCCAGGGAGGTGACCCAAACCTGGTGCAGCAAACCTCTCCTGTCTCCCCGTTGCTCCCTTCAGTAGTGTATTTCAGTCAGTCCGCCTGTTCTGCTCCCCATTTTATCTCTGGTGAATCCCCCTGCACCTATGGCTTGCACCTCTTTTGTACACAAAAATAAATAAAATCTTTAATAAATAAATTAAATATCCCAGATTTAGTGGGACACATACTTTTTTTCACAGGAAATCTTGTAGTAGTCATACACCCAGCTTTAAAATTCCCTCATTCTATTATTTGTAGCTCTATCTGTCAAGAGTTGGATGTCATTTCTGCTAATGAAGAGGAAAAAGAGGACAAAGCTGAATCTGATGTCAAACATAGAACCAGAGGTAGGTTAATATGTCAAAGACTTACTTGAACATAGGTTCTTTATAATAGAGATCCTCTGCACTCCAATAATTAATTCTCCTTAGATTCAGCCCAAAATGGATCAGTGTTTATCCTGAAAGCAGCTCAGTAACATAATGTTATAGTAATGTTTCTGTCCTTTGTTCATGAATTGCATAAATGATACTGTTGAATCAAATTTGAGTTAAAAAATACTTTCTAGGGCCTCCCTGGTAGTGCAAGGGGTTGGGTCTCTGCTATCAAGCTATCATCAGCCACTGCAGCACGAGTTCAATCCCCAGCCAGGGAGCTACCCACATGGTGCAGCAGACCTCTCCTGTCTCACCCATTGCTTCCCTCAGCAGTGGATTTCAGTAGATCTGCCCATTCTACTCCCCACTCTATCTCTAGTGAATCCTCTTACCCACCCACCCCCCGCACCACCACCTCTGGCCTACACCCCAGCTCTTGTATGCATAAATAAATAAAATAGGTCTTAAAAAAAAACTACCCATCACTTCAAGTATTCATACGCTGGTACCCTCAATCAGTCAGGGATACTTAATAAGTGGTAGAAGATTGGACTAGTGCTATTTAAGTTCCTTATTATAACTTTAGTTTCTGTGATTTTTACCCTGTGCCCTTTTTCATATCAGTACCATTTCTTCTTCCCTTCTTCTTCCCAAATCCTGGGACTTCCCTACTCTCTAACTTTCTAACTGTACTCTAACTATTTAATTGTATCTGTTCTAAGACCCAGTTCATATCATATCCACCTCAGTCAACATTGATTGATCAATTCTTTGGACTCATAGTTATCCATATGCCTCTCTGGCCTTTAATTATACATTGTTTTCTATTACTACATATAGGACTTACTTTTCAAATTCACTTAAGAATTTCTTGATACCGGGCCTCCCCGGTGGCGCATTGGTTGAGCGCTGGGTTGCGAAGCTGCCCGCAGCCTCTGCAGCGCCGGTTAGATCCCCGGCTGCTCCCCGGCCACCGGAGGAGGGTCCCACATGGCGTGCAGACCTCTCCTGCCGCCCGCTGCTTCCCTCAGCAGTGTACTTCGGTCCTTCTGCCTGCTCTGCTCCCCGCTCTGGCTCTGGTGAATTCTCTCACCCTCCTGCACTTCTGACTCGACCCAGTGCTTGTATAAATAAATAAATAAATAAATAAATCTTTTTTTTTTTTTTTAAAAATGTACTTTAAGTAAAAAAATACTAGATTTCAAATGTAAAATATTTCTATTACATGTGGAAATATTTTAGATATACTGTATTAAAGTATATTAATTTCACATTTTTAATATGTCTGCTAGATTGTTTAAAATTATGTTTCTCGTATTTCTGTAAGACAGCGCTGTTCTAGAGAATTCATATAAGAGACTTAAGGTTATACTTTCATGTTTTTCTTGCTGCCAAAATGGTAATGATAATACTTGGTCTTCATAATTTAGATTATAAGAAGACCAGTCTAGCTCCTTTTGTAAAAATTTTTGAACAGTTTCTTGAAAACCTGGATAAATCCCGAAAAGGAGAACTTCTCAAGAAGAGTGGTAAGACTATACCTTTCCCTTTCTTCTGTTTAGATCTTAATGTGGATAGCTTAAACCATCCAGCAAATGAGCAAATTTTTTTTTAGAGCTATAATCTTTGCCCTCTCCCAAAAATGTTATTGATTTATCTTACTATCCTTATCGCTTTGAAAACTGAAGTCTCTTAATTCCACTCAACACAAAATCATTAAATACCTCTACGTGTCAGGTTCGATGGGGGAAACAAAGATGAATTCCATACCTCCTTGCCCTTAAGAAGTACTAACTTCAACAAGCAACTATAAACCAGAGACGCACGGGTTGGTGGGGTGACTACGGTCAAAATAAGGGGGGGTGCAATTATATGGAGAATAGAACCAAAATGAAAATGCATACATTGTGCAAAAATGAAAAATGATGTAAGAATTATATAAAATAAAATATTTTTTAAATTAAAAAAAAGTACTGACTGATAGAAAACAAAGTACAAGATGCTAAGAAAGAAACCTTATCTGATTGAGAGAATCTGAAAAGATCTCATATGAGAAGGGTACTATTTGAACTCCTTTCAGTGAGCTGCCACATTAATTCTGATCCCTAGTGCCAAGTACTATGCTTTGAGGTTATGTGTGGCATTTCCACACACACAGATTGGATGAGATGAGACTACAGGAGTGGAAAAAAGGAGAGGGACAGAGGGAGCAAAGACATAGAAACAGAAAAGCATCAGATCCCTCTGGTGGCCATCAAGTAGTATAGCTAATCTAGAAAAAATGTGTCAGGAGGTGATAGAAGCTGCAGATTGAAGCCAGAGGATAGGCCTTTAGTTTCAGTCTAAAAGTTTGGGATTCAGTAGCGACAGGAAAGCTATTAAAAGTTTTTGAGGAAGGAGGTGCCATGATTTACCTATAAAGCTAAATCTAGCAACATTATATCTGTGGAGAGGTAAGAGATAGAGTCCAAGAGGCCAAGTGGGCTATTACCATTAGGACAATAACACTGGACATCTCTAATAGGTACAAATGCTGGACAATCCTAGAAACTTGGTAATAATTTAGAAGTGAAGACAAGAAAGAAATTGTCAAAAGCCAGAGGAAGGAAAAGTTTCAAGGAGATTACCAAGTGTCAAATGCAGTAGGGAACTGATAAAATCCTGTTGGATACAGGAGCTATATGGAAGTAAGGAGACAGCAGTGTCAAAGGAAGAGTGCTTTGAATAAGAGAGACCTGAGCACATGTGCGAGCCAAAAAGAAAAAATTCAGCAGTGGATATTCAAGAGATTGATAGATACCCTGAAAAACTTGTAATGCTATAGAAAAAGAAATTCCCCTCCTACTTCTTTTTTTTTACCCCCCCAATAATGGTTAAAAAGTAGTGGGGCCTCCCTGGTGGCACAAGGGGTTGAGTCTCAGCACTGTGAAGCGATCACTAGCCACTACAGCATGAGTTCGATCCCCAGCCAGGGAGCTGACCCACATGGCGCCGCAGACCTTTCCTCTCTTACCTGCTACTCCCCTCAGCAGTGTATTTCAGTCAGTATTTCTGCCTGTTCTGCTCCCCACTCTGTCTCTGGTGAATCCTCTCACCTGCCACATCTCTGGCCTGTACCTCAGCTCGTGTATGCATAAATAAATAAATCTTTAATAAAAAAAAATAGTGTTTAAGATAATGCTCTACTCTTAGTAGAAACTCAAACATGTACTTACTGAATGAACAGTGATGATTCTGAACTTGGAAAGCATTTCCAATGAATGAAGCAGCCATTCCAGCTGGCCATATTGAGTTATTTGTATTCTTGCTGTGAACTAGCTCAGCCTAAAAGTTATAGTAAATGTGAAAGTATTTCTCATTTATGCATGATGTAAATTTAATGGAAGTAATAAGCAAATCAGAATGTGAAAGCAAATGGGCTTTCTTTTCCTTTATAGTTATTTGATAAATCTATTCTATTTTAGATTTACAAAAAGACTTCTGAAGATAAAAACTCCCATCAAACTAAAGTGGATCTCTTCTGTCTTCAACCAAGAATCAAGTACTTCAAGACCATTTAATACAATGGCAGAACAATGTATGTGTTATAATAAAGCAAATTTCCTTCTTTTCTTAAAAAATAATTAGGTTGAAAAGACTTCTGAGACCAAAGGAACATGCCAGGCTTTCTGAAAAGAGGACTAAAGAGAGGAATAAGTGGATTTTAGACAAATTTGTAAAAGTTAATATTATACAAAGATAATTCTAAGACTTCTGATACAAAAATTCAGTTCTACCAGTTGCCATGTATATATAAGTAAATGAGCATTAGTATGTCCAAGACTTTAATCTCAGTTCACTGGATACATCCTCCATATGTCTGGAGTGAATATTCTAGGCAAATGAGGGCTTTGTCTTTAAGTCTTGGCCACTTAAGTTGTTTTATCTAGAGTATATAGTCAGGAATTCACTTCCTAATTTTCTTGCTGACAGATTTGTTGGTCAGGCCATACCCCACTCACTACCCATTTTAAAACTCATTTTAAACTGGGCATCTAAAGCCACCAAAACTTCAACTCAAAATACATGAGTTACTCAATTACAATAGGGAATATTTATTTATAACTATTGCAATTATAGCTAACTTCTTCCCTCATGGAACAATCTGGATTAATCTACCATTAAAAAGCAACTTAGAAAAAAATAACCAACTTCACCAACATAAAACCTTTTGTACTTGTCAAAACACTTGGGCTTCTATATATCTATATAATTTAAAGTTTCATTTCTTCCATATTTGACTTTGTGTGACAGATTCTGAATTCTTTCTTTTGCTGGGTTTTACCACCAATCTAAACAAAACATTTCTGGCTTACATTTTGTTTTCTGTAACATTGAGACGCTGGTGCTTTACCACTGTTTTCTTTATAGTCTTATTAATTTTTTTATTTTTTGGCTTATATAACACATTGTATAATGCAGTCAACACACTGAAATGCCTTGCATTTCTTTTCTAATTTTTTAAAAAATATTAAAGACTATTGTGTAGGGCCTCCCCGGTGGCACAGCGGTTGAGCGCTGGGTTGCGAAGCTGCCCACAGCCTCTGCAACGCCGGTTTGATCCCCGGCTGCTCCCCGGCCACCGGAGGAGGGTCCCACGTGGCGCGCAGACCTCTCCTGCCGCCCGCTGCTCCCCTCAGCAGTGTACTTGGGTCCTTCTGCCTGCTCTGCTCCCGGCTCTGGCTCTGGTGAATTCTCTCACCCTCCCGCCCTTCTGACTGTACCCAGTGCTTGTATAAATAAAATAAATAAATCTTTTAAAAAAAAAAAAATAAATAAAGACTATTGTGTAAAATTCCTTGTTGTTTGAGCTGCTGTTTATTACACATTGTTTACTTTTCAGATTTGGAAAATAGTTGGTCAATAAAGAAATAGCTTAAGGGCCTCCCCGGTGGCACAGCGGGCTGAGCACAGCACTGTGAAGCTGTCCGCAGCTTCTGAAGCGCAGGTTCAATGCCCGGCCAGCCAGGGAGATTCGAATCTCCACATGGCGCAGCAGACTTCTCTCGTCTCGCCCGCTATTCCCCTCAGCAGTTTTCGGTCTGTCTGCCTATTCTGTTGCCCACTCTGTCTGGTGAATCTTACCCTCCCGCACCTCTGGCCTTACCCCAGCTATTGTATAAATTAAAAATAATAAGCCCATGTGAAGAGTGGACAGACTGGTATGCTTTCAACAAGAAATGTTTTAAACTCCCAGTATAGTTTCATAAATGTCTAGCATTTCAATATATCTTAATGCTTTAACTTTGAAGCTCTTTGATAAAAGCTGGTACACTAGCCCATAAAATTAATTATAGAACATACCATGTTCGTGTAAAACAGTACATAGTTCTTGAAAATAGCAAAAAACATGCTCAAAGAGTACTGATTTCCCTATTCTTTGATTTGCCAATTCATCCATATAGGAGAATTATAGAAACTAAGGACACACAACTGGTTTCCATCTCCTATCTTTTGAAATTTATAGAGGGAAAAAACCCTCCTTTGCCTAATCATTAACAAGAGTTAGAAAAGTTGGTGGGCTTGATAAGAAAGGAGAATGGTCAAAATGTAGTTTATCTACCTAAGGAGATAATTGGCTATTGCTGGCTTTTTGGTTGGGTTTTTTTTTTTGTTTGCTTTTATAAATTAGTTTACAACACTGTATGTTTCAGAAGTATTGGTTCACACCACTTCATGTTGACTTTTATTTTTTTTTTAAAGATTAACTACTTATTTATGCATACAAGAACTGGAGTATACGGGCCTCCCTGGTTGGGCCTCCCTGGTGGTGCAAGGTGTTAAGACGCAGCACTATGAAGCTATCCACAGCCATTACAGCTTGAGTTCGATCCCCAGTGCCCCACATGGTGCAGCAGACCTCTCCTGACTAGCCCACTGCTCCCCTCAGCAGTGTACTTCAGTCAGTCTGCCTTTTCTGTTCCCCACTCTTGTCTCTGGTGAATCCTCTCACTGCCCACACTTCTGGCCTATACCCCAGTTCTTGTATGCATAAATAAAATCTTTAAAAAAAAAAAGAGGGGCCTCCCGGTGGCGCAGCGGTTGAGCGCTGGGTTGCGAAGCTGCCCGCAGCCTCTGCAGTGCCGGTTCGATCCCCGGCTGCTCCCCGGCCACTGGAGGAGGGTCCCACATGGCGCGCAGAAATAATAGATAGATAGATAGATAGATAGATAGATAGATAGATAGATAGACAGATAGATAGATCTTTAAAAAAGGCAAAACAAAAAAAAAAAAACTGGAGTGTTGGCAAGAGGTAGTGAGAGGATCCACCAGAGACAGAGTGGGAAGCAAAACAGGCAGCGGGGCATAGAACTCATGCTGCAGTGGCTGGCAATAACTTGATAGCACTGAGACTCAAACCCCTGTGCCACCAGGGAAGCTCTGACCTTTTCTTCTGATGTCGGTAGACTGCATTGAAAAATCTTCCAGATCATTTACTTACTTAGAAATTAATTCTATCTACAATTTTAATCTCCCTAACAATCCTATGAAGAACCTATTCCCTCCTTCAGACAAAGGAGCCAGGCTTCAGGTTCATGTTAATTACTCCACAATATCATCTCTACTGTCTGAAGAAAATTTCAGAATTTCTCACTCCTGGTAAATGCCACTATTTTTTTATTCCTAATTCACCGATACTAATCCTCAAATTTGAAAATGGCTTTCAGAGCATTTTTTTTTTTAAAGATTTATTTTTATTTATTTGTTTGTTTATACATGCACTGGGTACAGTCAGAAGCATGGGAGGGTGAGAGAATTCACCAGAGCCAGAGTGGGGAGCAGAGCAGGCAGAAGGACTGAAGTACACTGCTGAGGGGAGCAACGGGCGGCAGGAGAGGTCTGCGCACCATGTGGGACCCTCCTCTGGTGGCCGGGGAGCAGCCGGGGATCGAACTGGCGCTGCAGAGGCTGTGGGCAGCTTCGCAACCCAGCGCTCAACCGCTGCACCACCGGGGAGGCCCTTTCAGAGCATTTTAAAAGTTCGCGACTTCTCTTTTTTTTTTTTTTTTTTTTTATAGAGGCATGCTTTATTTGTTTGCTGGTTTGTTTGTTTTGTTTATACATGCACTGGGTACAGTCAGAAGCGCGGGAGGGTGAGAGAATTCACCAGAGCCAGAGCGGGGAGCAGAGCAGGCAGAGGGACCGAAGTACACTGCTGAGGGGAGCAGCAGGCGGCAGGAGAGGTCTGCGCGCCATGTGGGACCCTCCTCCGGTGGCTGGGGAGCAGCCGGGGATTGAACCTGCACTGCAGAGGCTGCGGGCAGCTTTGCAACCCAGTGCTCAACCGCTGAGCCACCGGGGAGGCCCTCGCGACTTCTCTTAAAGGCAGCCTCAATTGTCTTAAAGCCATTAGATCAAATAGTGTCAGATAATTAGGTGATCCAGGTATAGATTTATTTAGTCCATTTGTAGGGCTGAGAGTGTAGGGGGGTCTTGACCTTTCATTAACAAAAACACTGATTTTACATTGTCAAGAATCCTACTGGTTAAAGCATGGGCTCTTAACACGGTGTCCTGGAACCGTAGAATAAAACAGCATGTTGAAGGCTATCCAAAAAGTGCCCCAATAGCAGGCAGAAAGAACTGTTTGTGTTCTTTTTCGTGGAGAAGGGAATCTATAGACATTAAATAATTTCAAAGTTGGGCCAAATTATGCATTCCAAAAATAACTGAGGGTGAACCTAGGTCACTGCTACTTCCCACTGGTGTGGCTGCTCAGTGGCAGTCGATATTATTTAATGCCTTATTTTTCTGCATTTGAGAAAGGGAAGTCGCTAAAATAAGCGCTGTGGCTTCTTCGCTGACCGCGGGCACAGCAAGTTGCTTCTCTCACCAGTTTCTCTCGGGGTTTAAAGAGGCCTCGACTTGGGAGACGGCAGGGACCGGCCACCCAAGGAGAGAATTCCTGCCGGGCCTGCGCGCCCGGCTCCGCATTCTTAGCCTTATTTAGCCTCGTCGTCACCCCCGCGGGGAGCAGGGACGAGTCACCCGCTGGAGGAAGCGCCTGGCGCCAGCTCCTGACCCGGAATCGAATCCCGGCCCCGCCCCGTCCGCCGGGCTTCTCTCTGCAACAGGCGCGGGTCACGCTCTCGGTCGCTCTCTCTCTGCCGCCATCTTGGTTCCGCGTTCCCCTCACAGTAAGTGTCTCCGCCGCTGCTCTCTATCCGCGTCCATCTGCCTATTGGGCGAGCCAAGCCGCCCCGGGGACGGGGAGCTGAGGATAGGGGAGGCTTTGCGCGCCTGTCGGGTTCCTGCCCGGCCCTGAGGAGTGTGGCCTTGGGGCCGCCGCGGGACAAAATGGGCTCTGCACTGGGTGTCCTGGCCGCGGAGCCGAAGGGCGGCGGGCCGGGCCGGGGTCCTGCGCCGGGGTGGGGGGTCGCGGTGTGAGGGGCGGGGCGGGGGGCGTCTGTCGTTGGGGGCAAGGGCTTCGCTGGGAGCCAGAGGCGGTTGCGGGGTCACGGCCTTGGCGCCCTCACACTGCTCGGATTGTGACGCGCGAGGGATGTGGCTCCTGGCTCCCTGTCCCCTCCCGGTCCCCGAAAGTCCGCAGACGGGGGTCCCAGAGGCCCCGCCTGGGCGGCGCGGGCGGTGGGAGAGGAGGCCCTGCGGCCCCCCGGGGCCCGGGGGAGCCCGACCGGGCCCGGCTCCCGGGCCGAGGACGCCGTGCGGGCGGCGGGCGCCGCGGCGGCGGTTTGCGTGAGGAGAGCCCCGAAGTCGCTACTCGCCCGTCCCCAGCTACTTTGGGGGGCCGTCCCGCACACTCTCGGGATGTTTTCATAACCGTCGTCCCCAGAATTTTTAAAAATTCTCGACTGATTTGTTTTCCTAAACAGATCGCAGCCAATTCAGGCCTCCCTTCTCTTCCTTTCCTTCAGAAATGCCCGGCGAAGCCACAGAAACCGTCCCTGCTACCGAGCAGGAGCTGCCCCAGCCCCAGGCCGAGACAGGTAGGTGGGCCTGGGCCCTCCTCGCCTGAGGGCCGGAGTGTCCGCCTCGGGAAGGGTGCGCTGCGGTGCGCGGAGTCAGCTCCGGAAAGGAGATGCGGCCGGAGCTTGCCCGGGGAGGAGAGTCCAGGCGAGCTGCTGTCCTCGGGGAGGGCGTTCATGCGGGCGGGCGTGGAGTAAAAACAATGGCCTTTCAGTGTGGGGGCAGGGAAGGCTGCTTGGTGCAGTGTGGGGTTGTGCTGTGAAAGCCCCAGCTCGAGGAAGAAAACCGGGACTGGGAAGGGCTGTGATTCTGCCTCTCGGAGCTGAGTGACGCCCTGGCAGGCCGCGGAGACCTGAGCTTTCCCAAAGGTCCGGCCAGCGAGTTGCCTCAAGGCTTTAGATGGCAGAGCTTGGCGCTGTGCCTTGTCACATGTCTGGATGAGACGCGCTGCTGGTAGATGTGCCCTCCGACGGGGCCTCGGGGCCTCCTAGGTTGACTGGTTTTGTGGACTGGGGCTGAGATGGTGGTGCTGGAGTCATGCTGTAGCACGCTCCTCAGAGCCCAGGATGGACGCCTTTGCTCTTCAGCTTTGCAGTGAATGCATGTAGGACACAGTGTAAAGGCAAGTTTTGAATTCTGGTTCAAAGACTTCTCCAGTAACTTGAGGTAAGGAAAGGAAATTTTGGAGATAGTCTGCTTGCTGAGTCAGTTGTGCAGAACTAAATGGAAGAGACTCTTCTTACTCAGCGCCATCTTCATTCTTTTTTTAGTAGTAAATTCATTGGGGTTTTTTGTCATTTTGTTTTTAAGCTCCACCTGCCAGTTAAGGGCAATTTCTGTCTCTTGGAATTAAAATAGCGTTGTTTATAATTAAAGCATTGAGATTCTCTGTCTCCACCTGTCTGGTTTTAGCAGCTGAAGGGATTAGTACAGCTGCTAGAAAAAAAATAAGAGGGAGGCCCCTGAGCTGGGGAATGAGCTATATGAAACCCTCCAACTACAGGGGACTTAAGGAAAGGAAAAAATAAAAGACTCGTCTCTACACATCTTATAATTTCAGTGCTAAACAAGACCTTAACGAGTCTTTTTGAATGATTTGATTTTATAAATTTGGAGGCTGAAATTAAGGCAAATTTAGCTTCCCACTTCAAAACTAATTATTAGGATGAATGTGAAACTCAGGGAGTTGGTTATGGTGTTTAAAGCAAGTGATTTGTACTGTAGTCTTAAGATTTTGACCTACCAACTTTCCAGGAAAAAAACTGGTTGAGCCACCTGTCTCTTCTGTAGTAGGATTCTTAAGAATTTCAAAATTAGCGGTTGAGAAAAATGTGAATTTAGATGTTGTGTGGGCTTTTTTTTAATACTCCTTTCTGGGTGTTGAACATTTGTTGATCTAATCCTGTGTTATCTCCTGAATAGCAAGTATGGTATTTTTCCATCATTCAGAAAAGCTTTTGCTTAGCTTTACAGTAGTGCCAAATATTGGTCTATTTTGGCAGGATGACATACTTATCCAGATTAAAGGGTGGGTATCTAGTGTAGTCTCTCCACTTCAGTTCCTTGCTTCCAAAATAGACCAGTCTGGTTTAACAAGTTGGGTTACAGTTTCATAATAGAGTCCCTACCCTTGTGACTAAGCGCTCTTCTGAAGTTCTAATTAATCTTCAGATTGATGTCTGAAGAGCTGACATTACATAGGAAGGCCTGTAAAGTCCATGGAGTCCAGCCAATTTGTGGTTGGGTTTTTTGGTTGGTTGGTTTTGGGTAAGTAAACGGAGCATAGGGGAGACGAAATGTGTTCGTGTTTAATACTCATTATTAAATTCTGAAGAGTTTCAGCTTTGGGAAGAATTGAATTAGATGAGAGAGCCCTTCCTAAGACTTTTTTCAAACAGAGTTTGCCTGACCGAGTGGAAGCCTGAGCATATAAAGACTTTTTTTTTCCCCACCTCCCCTCATTCAGCTCTGATTTTCCATCATTCTCCCCACTCGCTACCTTCCTTGTTTCAGTTCTCAGTGTGCGTCTGTTGAAGCTCCTGAGTGGACTGCAGAGGACAGGCGCTGTCCTGCAGTTGTTTTTCCTGTGAGAAAGATTTAGGAATAGGGCTGGCGGGGGCACGACTGGGAAGGGTAGGAAACTGCTGTTTCTGCTCCTGGGCCTGTGATCTCTATTTAGAGCCTGAAAGGCTGCTGCTCGGAGGCTTATTTCCACCCTAAAATAGTTAATTTATTTTGGTAGAACTTGGGAAATGTGGGAGATAAGAAAAGGGAGGTAGTCTTACATGACCAACTGGAGTGTATTTGGGGAAGGTTGCTCTTGCCTGTCACCTTTGTCTAATCCTGCGTGGTGACTGTCATCCTCAGATTAAAAATTGCAGTGTTTCCTGTGAGGCATGTTGTACCAAGTTGGGCTGCGTAACTCACCTTTGTTTTTTTTCCTTCCCTTTCCTTCTTTATTCCCTTTTTTGCTTTTCTCCTCCAGCTGTGCTCCCTGTGTCTTCAGCCTTGAGTGTTACTGCTGCCTTAGGGCAGCCTGAACCTACCCTTCCCCCCACTCCTTACCCGCTGGCACCGCCCCCTCAGTGCCCCCTACCGACCCCTTGCCAGCCTTCCCCTTTCCTTTCTCCTTCTCCCATTGCCTCAGTAACCCCTTTTGAAAGACCTTTTCCCCAGTCTTCCTCTGAGACAACCGTTCCTTTGGGGGCTATCCCTGATACCCCAGTTTTCCTGCCGAACCTAATAGGGCCTCCCATCTCCCCAGCTGCTTTAGCTCTGGCCTCTCCCATGATAGCTCCAACACTGAAAGGTGCCCATTCCTCTTCAGCGCCCTTGTCTCTGGCAGCCTTGGCTCCCCACTCAGTCCAGAAGAGTGCTGCTTTTCCACCTCGCCCTCTCGGTTCACCTTCAGTCACTGTAGCTAACCCAGGGGCCATGAAATCTCTGGCAGCTCCCACTGCTTCCTCAGAACCAAAGCCCTCTCCTGTTGAAGTTTCCTCTCAAGTAGACCCTAATCCAAAAGGTACCCCCATGCCTCCAGGTATAGTCAGTGCTGTTCCTTCCCATTTTGTGTCTCCTGTAGCCTCTGTTCAATCTGGAATGTCCTCCTGTTTTCAGACCCCACCCACCACCCCTCTCGCCATCACGTCCCCTCAGGTCAAAGGCATCCCTGCTTCCTCAGCTCTGACTTCTCCACAAAATCCTGTAAGCCTCAGTCTTCAGGGACCCCTTAGCCCACCTGCTGCCTTGTCTCTTTCAGTCCAGCCTAGTCCTGTAACTCCCGGCGCCCCTCCGGCTTTTCTCACTTCTCTGGACTCTCATTCTGCATCGCTGCGTCAGAGTTCTCTTGGCTCTTTGGCCTGGTCAGATCCTACAGTGAATACTGTTTCTGTAGATCATTCTTCCGTGCGGGCCTCTGGGGCCTCACACCCTTCTCAGAGATCTGTAATTCCTCCCTTTCCTTCCAGAAATGTGGTTCCTGCTGCTGTGGCTACTGTTGCAGTGGGGGCTCCGGCTTCCCCTCTGGCTCTCTCTGTTGACAAAGGCTCCTCTGCTATCACTAGCGTAGCCACCAACAGCCCTTCTGGTTCCTTGGATGTAGCTGACACTTCATCATTGTCTCCTACAGCCTCTCTCATCAAAGGTTCTCCTAATGCCACACATAAGTCTTCGGTGGCCCAGATTCCTGCTACTTCAGGTAGTTCTAGCCTGACAGAAATTCCTGTTTCTTCTGTTGGAACCACCCCACTTGTGATGACTAACCCCTCTACAGTAGCTCCTTGTGTCTCTCCTCCAATTTCATCAGGTCTCATAAACAGTAAGGACTCCACTTCTCATGCTGCCTTGGTTTTGGCGCCTGTGACTGCCAAAGAGCTACCTACTCCTCAAATAACACCTACTCTGGGCCTGTCAGTCTCTCCCCTGCCATCCCCTGAGGATTCCAAAAGTCTCCCTGCTTCAGTGTTGGTGAAGTTCCCAACACAGAAAGATGCACAAGCTGTACCTGCATCTCCTGTGGGAGCCCCTATTTCACCCACCCAGGCAGGAACCCCTACCAAGAAAGAACCTACTTTACTGCCACTAGCCCTGGCAACCGCTAAACATCCCCCCTCTCCCCAAAATACATCATCTCTGGAGCTCTCTCCTCCTGAAGCCGTGTTAGCAAAGAAGGGCCTTGTAGAAACTCTCCCTATAGTTAAGCCAGCCAGTGCTGCTCCCTCTCTCGCAGATGTTACCTCCCCAACATCTGTAATCAGGACAGATCCATATGTAAGCCCAGACCCCACTGGTGTTCTTAAAAGTTCTCTCTCTACCCCAGCCATGGCTCCATTTCCATTTGAAAGTGCTGCCACTGCTGGGTTGGCTTCTGCAGCTGCCAATCATGCTTCCACTCCTACAGCTGCACCCAGCCCTTTTCTAGAAGGAGCTGTCTCTTTAGCTCCTAAAAGCCACCTGGCCAGAGAGTGCACTTCCACTAGTACAACTTTACCTTTGATTCCTCCAACCTCTGAGAATAGCCTTACAACTTTGTCACCCTGGAATGTTGCTGCTTCTCCAGCTACTGTGGTGAAGTCTGAGCCCCCTCTTCCTCCAGCTGGTCCTCCTCAGGGAGCAAAGACAAGTCCTGGAATTTCTCCTCCTTCAGGACTGGCGCCTCTGGCTTCCTCTCCTGAAGGACACTCTAGTGAGGACTCTGGTGCATCTTCCAAAGGCACTTGCTTCGCTGACTCTCCATCTCCTTTGGGAAATAGTGTGTCTTCTCAGACTAAAAGACTTCCAGCCAAGAAGGGTTCAACTCCTTCTGAATCTAAAAGTGTACCTGCTGTCCCCAACACTCTTGCTGGAACTCTCTCATCCCCTGCTTCTCCAGTGGAAACTTCTGATCTTCCAGAGACCAATCTTTCTTTTCAAGTCTCTAAAGGATCACCAGCCAAGAAGCAGTGTCTCTCTCCAAAAGGGACCCCAGCTACCCCATCACCCACAGGGAGCCCTGCTCCCCCAGTTACCACCCCTCCACCTCTGAAAGGGGGCCCTGCCCCCCAAACTACTCCCTCTCCCAAAGGAACCCCAGCTGCCCCATCCCCAAAAGGGGGCCTTGTTCCCCAAACTACTGCTCCTCCCTCTCCCAAAGGAACCCCAGCTGCCCCATCCCCAAAAGGGGGCCCTGTTCCCCAAACTGCTGCTCCTCCCTCTCCCAAAGGAACCCCAGCTGCCCCATCCCCAAAAGGGGGCCCTGTTCCCCAAACTACTGCTCCTCCCTCTCCCAAAGGAACCCCAGCTGCCCCATCCCCAAAAGGGGGCCCTGTTCCCCAAACTGCTGCTCTGCCCTCTCCCAAAGGAACCCCAGCTGCCCCATCCCCAAAAGAGGGCCCTGCTCCCCAAACTGCTGCTCCTCCCTCTCCCAAAGGAACCCCAGCTGCCCCATCCCCAAAAGGGGGCCCTGTTCCCCAAACTGCTGCTCCGCCCTCTCCCAAAGGAACCCCAGCTACCCCATCTCCAAAAGGGGGCCCTGTTCCCCAAACTGCTGCTCCTCCCTCTCCCAAAGTTGCCCCAGCTACCCCATCCCCAAAGGGTGCCCCCATTCCCCAGGCTGCTGCTGCTTCCTCTCCCAAAGGGACTTCAGCTACACCATCCCCCACAGAGGCCCCAGCTACCCCCTCCCCTAAAGGTGCCACCATTACCCAGACTGCCAGTCCTCCCTCTCCCAAAGGGGCCCCTGCTACCCCATCTCCCAAAGGGGCCTCTGACCCCTCAGCTGCCACTCCTCTCTCTCCCAAAGGGATGCCAGCTACCCCACCCCCCAAAGGGGCCCCTGCTCCTGCTCCCCCAGCTACCCTGTCTCCCAAAGGGCTCCCAACTGCCCCATCCCCCAAAGGGATACCAGCTACCCAGTCCCCCAAAGGAGCCTCTGATCCCTCAGCTGCCTCTCCTCCCTCTCCCAAAGGGACCCCAGCTGCCCCATCCCCCAAAGGGACCTCTGCTCCCTCAGCTGCCTCTCCTCCCTCTCCCAAAGGGACCCCAGCTGCCTCATCCCCAAAAGGGACTCCAGCTACCCAATCCTCCAAAGGGGCCTCTGACCCCTCAGCTGCCACTCCTCCCTCTCCCAAAGGGACCCCAGCTACCCGATCCCCCAAAGGGGTCTCTGACCCCTCAGTTGCCACTCCTCCCTCTCCCAAAGGAACCCCAGCTGCCCCATCTCCCAAAGGGACCCCAGCTACCCGATCCCCCAAAGGGGCCTCTGACCCCTCAGCTGCCTTACCTTCCTCTCCCAAAGGGATCTCAGCTGCCCCATCCCCCAAAGGGACCCCAGCTGCTCAGACCCCCAAAGGGACCGCAGCTGCCCAGACTCCCAAAGGGACCTCTGATCCCTTAGGTGCTCCTCCTCCCTCTCCCAAACAGACCCCAGCTACTACCCCATCCCCCAAAGGTGCTCCCACTCCCCCAACTGCAGCTCCATCCTCTCCCAAAGGAACACCCACTCCCTCATCTGTAGCTCCACCCTCTTCCAAAGGGACCCCAGTTACTCCATCCCCCAAAGGTGCCCCCACTCCCCCGGCTGTGACTCCATCCTCTCCTAAAGGAACACCAGCTACCCCATCCTCCAAAGGGGCCCGTACTCCCTCGACTGCTGCTCCTCTCTCTCCCAAAGGGATGCCAGCTACCCCATCCCCCAAAAGGGGCCCATCAACCTCATCCTCTAAAGAGGCCTCCAATCCGCCAGCTGTGACTCCTCCCTGCCTCAAAGAGTCTCCAGTGGCCCCCACCCCTTCAAAAACTCCTCCACCCTCTCCCAAAAGAACCCAAGCTACCCTATCACCCTCAGCTCTTACTTCTTCCTCCAAGGGAGACCTAACAGCTCCAGCCCCCACAAAAGCCTCAGCAACTCCCTCCTCCAAAGGGGCTCCAGCAACTCTAACCCCCAAAGAGAGCCCAACAGTTGCATCCCCCCAAAACTCCCCTCCTTCCCCAGTTTCAGTTACGTGCCCTCTGGGGTCTGCAACCCCTCAGGTAGCTAAAGGACTCCCAGTAAAAAAAGACCCCAAGGCGCTCAAAACAGTACTTGCTGCCTCAGCTTCTGAAAGTGCACCAGTCGTCACAGCAGCCACTCAAAAAGGTCCACAGGCCAAGAAGAGGTCAGCTACTTCAGATCCCTCAGCTAAGAGTGGTGCTAAAGAACCCCTTTCTCCAGCAACTCCAGCCCCCCAACTGACAGTGTCACCTCCCAAAGGCTCTTCAAAGGCTACAAAAACCATCCCTGTTGCTCCCGTGAAAGGCAAGGATTCTTCTCATTCCCCAAAGGGCTGTCCCTTGGCCGTTCATCCTGAGTCTGAGGCAGCTGCCCCTCTATCAACAGCTGCCTCTGAGGTCCTGCCTAATGCCAGCTCAACATCTGTCTCTCCAGCACCCACTCCCTCAGCCTCTCTGCCTCTTGCACCCTCCCCAGTTCCCCCTCTGCTTCCTAAACAGCAGTGTCTGCCGTCCTCAACTGGGCTGGTGCTGGAATCACACTGTAAGCCCCTAGCCCCTACTGATGAGGATGAGCTGCCGCCTCTGATTCCCCCGGAACCAATCTCTGGGGGCGTGCCTTTCCAGTCGGTCCTCGTCAACATGCCCACCCCCAAACCTGCTGGGATCCCTGTCCCAACCCCCTCTGCCAAGCAACCTGTTCTGAAGAACAACAAGGGTATTTGCCTTGGTTTGCTGTGTGCATGGTGTGTTGCCCACACTCCTCCTGGGGGCCACCCACCAATACTAACCCTAGGATGCGCCACCTTCTCCAGTATTCATGCTTGTGTTTGGATGTAGAACATAGACCATTTTAAATGTGAAACAGAATCTTGGTTTTCATCACCTCAGAGAGTCTTGTGTATCATCTTGTGTAACATGGTCCAGACTAACCCTGGGTCTGTTTTTGTTGTTGTTGCTTAACCTAACTGATCTGACATTGAAAACCAAGAGCTACTAGACCTTTAATATGCTCTGATCTCTCCACATCACTAACCTGTCCCTGGGCCTGGAAGTTGCTATATAAATAATGGCAAATCCGAAGCAATTTGAATTTTTCATTCCTTTGACTTAGTAATGACCAGTTGCCCAAGGACACCCTTTTCTTAGATCTATTTTTCCTAGCCTGAGAATGGTGCAGGTATATGCATTTTTTTCCTCAGTAGTCTTGATTGATGCTTGGCCTTTCAATTTAAGGAAACTTAAAATATGTGAATTATGTTTGGAAGAATTAGGAGAGGTCACAGGACAGTATGTAGTAGAGAGACTATGAGAATTCTAGGTCGGCATTACTAAGAATCTTAAGGCTATGAACAAAAAGAAGATCTTAAAGCCTTGTTGATTAGATCAAATTACTTTGTTAATGTGGTTTGAGAATAAGATCAAATGTGTGTACACAACTGCTTCTGGCCTCCCCAACCCAGTCTAAAAGATGAGGGGAAAACACCTTCCCTGGGGTACCTCCACAATATGGCCTTATCTTTTTTCTCACTTAGGTTTTTCTAGAGACTCTTTGTCTGCCAGAACTTTTCTGGGATGGTTGGGCTATTGAGTAGAATTTGGAGTTTCATAGGTCATTCTGGTGTTTGCTGATGCCAAGAAATGAAAAGCTTGAGTGAAAGGAAGTTTCAGAAGTTTCTAGTAATTACCTTTCATTTCTGGGGCTGGGTCTTTAATGGATGTGTACACACTAGTTTGTGACTGAGTTGGGGGCAGTCAAACTAGCTTCACCTGAGTCATTTGGTTTACATTTAGCTTTGTGAGTGCTAATATAAACCAGTAACCTCTCTCTAGTTCAGGCAGGACGTGTCTTGTCTCCTCCGTATAATCTATAAAATAATGAAAGTTATCTGTCATCTTAGGCTCTGGAACAGAATCTGATAGTGATGAATCAGTACCAGAACTCGAGGAACAGGATTCCACACAGGCAACCACACAGCAAGCGCAGGTTGGTGTTCTCTTACTGGGATAAGCACTTGGGTCAAGGAAGCAGTGGTAAGCTGTGGTGGCCAGAGAAGCTTACCATGTGTTTGAAGCTGTGAACCTTTATAAAGTGGGAACCACGCGAAACTGTTGTCCTGGTCTTCATTCCAGTTTACTCAAAATTCTTATCTCAATAGCTGGCAGCGGCAGCTGAAATCGATGAAGAGCCAGTCAGTAAAGCAAAACAGAGCCGGAGTGAAAAGAAGGCACGCAAGGTGAGATTTTACGTTATAAACAAGCATGAGCGTTGCTGTTAAGCCAGCTTTAGCGAGCACAGTTACAGTGGCACTAACGGTAGGCATAGTCACGTTCAGCAGAAAATCCAGTAGTTGTAAAGAAGTTGAAAACATGTTCTTTTCTATTCTTCAGGCTATGTCCAAACTGGGTCTTCGACAGGTTACAGGGGTTACTAGAGTCACTATCCGGAAATCTAAGAATATCCTCTTTGTCATCACAAAACCAGATGTCTACAAGAGCCCAGCTTCCGATACCTACATAGTTTTTGGGGAAGCAAAGGTAGGTAAACTTTTCTTGATAGTTGGTCTAACCCAGGGTTTCTCAACCTCAGCATTGTTGACATTTTGGGTCAGATGATTCTTCATTGTAGAAGAGCCGTCCTATGTATCCCAGATACTTAGCAGAATTATATCTAGTGTAGTAACCAAAAAAAAATCTGCGGAGATTGACGGTTGTCCTGGGGGGTGCTGACGCAAAATCGTATCCATCCCTGGTGGAAAACCACTGCTTTAGACCTATGCTACTTTTCTTCCTCCAAAGATAGAAAGGGCAAACAGTTTGGGCCTCCCCAGTGGCGCAGTGATTGAGCGCTGGGTTCAAAGCTGCCTGCAACCTCTGCAGCGCCAGTTAGATCCCCGGCCTCCGGGTGAGGGTCCCACATGGTGCACAGGCCTCTTCTGCCTGCCCTGCTCCCCGCTCTGGCTCTGGTGAATTCTCTCACCCTCCCGTTCTTCTGACTGTACCCAGTGCTTGTATGTATGTATAAATAAATAAACACATAAATACATAAATAAATAGATCTTTAAAAAAGAAAGGGCAAACAGTTTAAAGCTATGTAGTAAATTAATCTGAAGTGAGTTTAGAGTGAGATTTTGGAAGAAGTAAAATGATTCATCTGCTGCTGACTGACCCGCTCACATGAGTCTGTTTTCTCTGCCCTACAGATTGAGGATTTATCTCAACAAGCACAGCTGGCAGCTGCCGAAAAATTCAAAGTTCAAGGTGAAGCTGTCTCAAACATTCAAGAAAACACACAGACTCCAACTGTACAAGAGGAGAGTGAAGAGGAAGAGGTATACAAGGAAATCTTTTATATTTTTAATCCCCTCCAGATAGTAATATTTGTGTTAGTAGGAAGATTATGTTGTCTTTAGCCTCTTGAACCCTGTGTTTTAAGTACTAGATTGACAAGACTCCTGACTTCAAAGAAAAGCAAAAGTTGCTCTTGCCTTTACTTTGTCGTGTGTTTTTTCCCCTCTCTTAGGTTGATGAAACAGGTGTGGAAGTTAAGGACATAGAATTGGTCATGTCACAAGCAAATGTGTCAAGAGCAAAGGCAGTACGAGCCCTGAAGAACAACAGTAATGATATTGTAAATGCTATTATGGTGAGTGTCCAGATCTTTATCCTTTGACTCCCTTTGCCTGACCAAGTTATACTGACTATCAACCAGTTAAGAAGTCTCATGCTTAAAGCCTGTTCTGAGTTGCTTCAGATTATTTTCATGACCTGAATTCTCTCCATTTGTCTAAAACTACTGATGAGGATCTCTTTTTCTCTTACAGGAATTAACAATGTAATCATCTGAAAAGGGGGACTTTTTTTCTTTTTTTTTTTTTTTTTTCCTTTGGTGTTTCAAGAGAGTGATTGCAGCTTGGTTTGAAATTTGTACTGTTTCTATCATTAATAAAGTTATGCTTCTTGTTGGATGAACTCAGCAGTTCCCTGGTCTCTTCCCAGAAAAAAACCATGAAGGCCTCTAAAAAGGAGAACACATTCATAAATTACTCTTAAGAGTTTAGTTGAAAAAAGTTATAGTGCCACAGATTCCCCGCTTAAAATCTCAGCTTTTTTATCTCTCATAAAAAGTCATCTATTGGGACCTAATAGATAGCCCTTCTCTATCCTGCAATCTTTCTCAATACAGATCACTATATAGAAGTCCCAAGAAGAGTAAAGTTTAACTTTGTGGAAATCTTTTTGCAACTAAAGTTTAGATGTCACTGAATTCAGTCTTTTTTTTTTTTTTCTCCCCTAAAGATTTTTATTTATGCATACAAAAACTGAGGTACAGGCCAGAGGTGCGGGCGGGGGTTGGTGGTGAGAGGATTCCCCAGAGACGAAGTGAGGAAAAGAACAGGCAGACTTCCCAAAATACACTGCTGAGGAGCAGCAGGAAAGATAGGAGAAGTCTGCTGCGCCTACTCATGGTAGGGAGGCCCTGAATTCAGTCTTCCTGATCTCTATGAGAGAGGGTGTTACTTAGATGTGAGCTAAAATTAAAGACCAAAGAGGTTAAATGACTTGTCCAAAAGATAGCCACTTCTTTTTTTTTTTTTTTTTTTTTTTTTTTTTTTTTTTTTTAAGATTATTTGTTTATATAAGAACTGGAGTACAGGTCAGAGGCACGGGATGGTGAGAGAATTCACCAGAGAGAGAAGGGAGCAGAAGAGGCAGACAGACCGAGGACACTGCTGAGGCGAGCAGCGGTCAAGACAGGAGAGGTCTGGTGCACCCTGTGGGTTGCTCCCTGGCAGGCCGGGAATCAAACCCGTGCTGAGAGGCTGCGGACAGCTTCACAGTGCGGGGCTCAACCTGCTGTGCCACCAGGGAGGCCCCCCCTCTCTTGCCTTCTTCAAATTAGTTTTCTTAATACCATTCTCATTTTTCTTAAATCTCCATCTTCAGTTCCAAGATACCCAAGTTCAATTATCCACCCTGTGAAAATTTTCCCATGTTTATTTCCAGTTAACAGCTAATAGATGACCCAGCTGTTCATTTGATCATTTAAAAAGGAACCTGGGGCCTCCTTGGTGGCATAGGTAGTTGTGCGCCGCACTGTGAAGCTGTCCGCAGCCTCTGCAGCGCTGGTTCGATCCTGGCAGGCCAGCGAGAATCCCACATGGCACAGCAGATCTCTCCTGACTTGCCTACTGCTCCCCTCAACAGTGTATTTCTTCAGTCTGCCTGTTCTGTTCCCCGCTCTGTCAACGGTGAATCCTCTCAACCTCCCGCGCATCTGGCCTGTACCCCAGTTCTCGTTTTAAAATAAAATTTTTTTTAAAAGATTTATTTTATTTATATAAGAGCCGGGGGGCAGGCCAGATGTGCAGGAGCGTGAGAGGATTCACCAGAGACAGAGCAGGGAACAGAACAGGCAGACAGACCGAAGTACACTGCTGAGGGGAGCAGCGGGGGAAACAGGAGAGGTCTGTTCTCCATGTGGGTTGCTCCAAGGCTGACGGGGATCGAACCGGCACTGCAGAGGCTGCGGGCAGCTTCATAGCGCTGTGCTCAACCACCTGCGCCACCAGGGAGGCCCTAAAAATAAATCTTCAAAAAAAAAAAAAGGAACCTGGTCCTAACAAATGGTGTTGGGAAAAACTAACATCCACATGCAAAGAATAAAATTGGACCCTTATATATGACCTTAAAACTCTCAGGAGAGGGCCTCCCTGCTGGCACATGGGGTTAAGCACAGCGCTATGAAGTTCTCTGCAGCACGAGCTACCCACATGGTGCAGCAGACCTCTCCTGTCTCCCCACTGCTGCAGTGTATTTTGGTCAGTCTGCCTGTTCTGTTTCCCACTCTGTCTCTGGTGAATCCTCTCACCCTCAGCACCTCTGGCCTGTATCCCAGTTCTTGTATGCATAAATCTGAAACTTGGGCCTCCCCGGTGGTGCAGTGGGTTGAGCACTATGCTGTGGAGCTGTCTGCAGCACGGGTTCTATTCCCCTCTGGCCAGGGAGATAACCCATATAGCATGGCAGACCTCTCCTGTCTCCCCACTGCTCCCCTCAGCAGTGCTTTCAGTCCATCTGCCTGTTCTGCTCCCCACTCTGTCTCTGGTGAATCCCCTCACCCTCCCATGCCTCTGGCCTGTACCCCAATTCTTGGATAAAAATAAATCTTTTAAAAAAAATGGAAAGCTCTGTCACTCATTTTGGTAATAATTAAATCACAACAAAAGCAAGGCAGCAAAAGGAAAATCAGTTAAATTGGATTTTTTTCAAATATTTATGCATACAAGAGCTGGGGTACAGGCCAGAGATGCAGGGGGTGAGAGGATCCACCAAAGACAGTGGGGAACAGAACAAGTAGACTGACAAATACACTGCTGAGGGGAGCAGGAGGCGAGACAGGGGAGGTTTGCCTCGCCATGTGGGTTTCTCCCTGGCTGGCCAGGGTTCGAACTTGTGCTGTAGAGGCTGTGGATTACTTCACGGTGCGGTGCTTAACCCCTGCACCACCAGGGAGGCCCTAAATTGAATTTTTTTTGTAAAGATTTATCCATTTTTATTCATCTATTTATACAAGCACTGGGCACAGCCAGAAGCGCAGGAGGGCAAGAAAATTCACCAGAGCCAGAGCGGGGAGCAGAGCAGGCAGAAGGACCGAAGTATACTGCTGAGGGGAGCAGTGGGCGGCAGGAGAGGTCTGCGCACCATGTGGGACCCTCCTCTGGTGGCCGGGAGCAGCCGGGGATTGAACCGGTGCTGCAGAGGCTGCAGGCATCTTCGCAACCCAGCGCTCAACTGCTGGGCCACCAGGAATGCCCTAAATTGGATTTTTTTAAATCAAAGGACACAACAATCGGGCCTCCCTGGTGGCGCAGCGGTTGAGCGCTGGGTTGCTAAGCTGCCAGCAGCCTCTGCAGCACCAGTTCACTCCGCGGACACCGGGTGAGGGTCCCACATGGCGCGCAGACCTCTCCTGCCGCGCCCGCTGTTCCCCTCAGCAATGTACTTCTTCAGTCTGCCTGCTCTGCTCCCCACTCTGGCTCTGGTGAATTCTCTCACCTTCCTGCGCTTCTGACTGTACCGAACGTATAAATAAATAAATAAATTTTTAAAAAATCCCACTAGCATTCAAACACATCCAGTAGGTGCTTGATTTAATAAAAAAAAAAGGACACAACAATCAAAGATTAAAAAAGGCAAAGCACTTGAATAGACATTTCTCCAAAAAACACATTCAAATGGCAAATGAGTACACAAGATGTTCAAGATCACTAAGAAAATAAAAATAAAGGGCCTCTCCTGGTGGCACAGCGGTTGAGCACTGGGTTGTGAGGCAGCCTCTGCAGCTCCAGTTCAATCCCCAGCCACCAGGGAGGGTCCCACCAAAAAGAAGAAAAAATAAATCAAGGGGCCTCCCTGAAGGTGCAAGCAGTTAACACGCAACCTATGGCGCTTTCAGCAGCCACTGCGGCATGAGTTCAATCCTCACCAGGGAGCTGCCCACATGGCACAGCAGACTTCTCCTGCCTCACCCACTGCTCCCTCAGCAGTGTATTTCTGCCAATCTGCCTTTTCTGTTCCCTACTCTGTCTCTGGTGAATCTTCTCACCCCCCACACCTCTGACCTGTGCCCCAGTTCTTGTATGCATACATAAATTTTTTTAATTATAAATAGAAATCAACTACAATGAGATAGCATCTCACACCCACACACACCTCCCTCAGAATTGCTGTCAACCAAAATAAGTTGACAAAGATGTGAAGATATTTGAACCCTTGTGCAATGTTAATAGGAATAAAAAATGACTGCAGTTCTTACAAAATAAATTGAATTACCATTTGATCTAGCAATTATACTTCTGGGCATATGCTGAAAATAATTGAAATCAGAGCCTCAACAAGACATCTGTACACTCCTGCAGCATTACAATAACTAAAAGATTGAAGAAACTTAGATGTCCCTCACGAATGAATGAACAATGTGTATACATGAAATATATATACACACATGCGCACACAACAGAATATTAAAGGAAGTTGTGACATAGGCTACAAAGACAAACCTTAACATGCTAAGTAAAATAAGCCAGGCGGAAAAAATACTGTTATGATTGCACTTATGTGAGGTACCTAGATAAAATTCATAGAGACAAAATGGAATGGTGGTTTCTAAGGGCTGGGGGCGGGGGAGAGAAAAAGGGGGATTATTGTTTAATGGGTCCAGAATTTCAGTTGAAGATGAAAATGGTGTTTAGTTGAAGTGAATGGTGGCGATCATTGCATAACAATGTAAACACAATCCCTTGAACTCTACACTTGAAAGATGGTTAAGATGGTAAATTTTGTTAAATTTTACCTTTTTTGTTTTTAAGAAGCCTCAGCATCAGGGCCTCCCCGATGGCTCAGCAGGTTGAGTGCCAGGCTGTGAAGCTGTCTGCAGCCTCCACAGCTCCGGTTCTATTCCCGGCAGGCCAGGGAGAATCCCACTTGGCGAGGCAGACCTCTCCTGTCTTGCCCACTGCTCCCCTCAGCACTGTATTTCGGTCTGTCTGCCTGTTCTGCTCCCTGCTCTGTCTGTGGTGAATCCTCTCACCCTCCCACGACTCTGGCCTGTACCCCAGCTCTTGTATAAATAAAAATTAAACAAAAAATCTAAGAAGCCTCAGCATCGTCCTCTAATGTTATAGACTGCCTTCTTCAGTCATCCCTTGCAAGTTTTCTTTCCAAATATTTTCATATCCCCCCTCACCTCATTCTTAGTACCACTGCCTTAATCGAGAACACCTGGATAGGCTCTTGGTCTAGTCTCCCAAATGTTCTGTCCTCCACTAAGAATTCCTCTACATTTGCCTCCATAAAGTGGATTGGCTCTAGGGCCTCTCCAGTGGCCCAGCGGTTAAGCACCGGGCTGCAAAGCTGCCCACAACCTCTGCAGCGCCGGTTTGATCCCCGGTCACCTAGGCGAGGGTCCCACATGGCACGTAGACCTCTCC